ACCTCTGGAAGAGCTGTCAGTACTCTTAACCACTGAGCCATCTCTCCAGCCCCTCCACTTGTGTCTTTTAATACTTGCTTTCACTGGGATAACAACGGACCTTTAGGGCATGAGAATGAAAACAGGAAGACTTTTCCAGAAGCCAAAGTAGAACTCCAGGTGAGGAATAACCATAGCCAGGTGAGTGTTAGCAAGTGACATGAATGATTTCAGGAGCGGTTCTATCAAACTAACAGAACTTTTGTCAGTTGAATTGGTTTTGAGAGTGAGGAAAAAGGAATCTAGGGCCGGGTGGTGGTGCATGGCTTTAATCCCAGTATTTGGGAGGCAGAGACAGGTGGATCTCTGTGAGTTACAGGCCAGCCTGGTCTACAAAGCTGTACAGAGAAAGCCTGTCTTGAAAAACAAACAAAAGAAATCTAGGAAGAATGGATTGTTTCAGTGCAAGCAACTGGATGTTGTTTTTAAGGGTGGAAAAAAATGGAAGGAAGAACAGGAGTGGAAGGAAATGAAGACTTCTGTTAGGAAGTACATTACAGAGCTGGCAAGATGGGTCACCTGCCAACTGATGCAAGCCTGATGACCTGAGTTTGATCCAAGGAACACACATAAAGGTGGGAGGGAATGTTGGGATGCCGCTCACCAGGAGAGAGCTTGACTACTTACTTGTGCTTGAAGACTGATTGATTAAGCTGTGCATGGCTCTAAGTTACTCTGCACTGTGTGGAAACAGTGGCTTTCAGGCTGTATGTTGCCCAGGTAACTGTTTTACAAGCAGAATTTGGTTCGGTGTTAAGTGCAGAGGCAAAAGCAAATTGCTTTGTATCTCATTGTACATGTAGACACCACCCGTTCAGCATGACCATGAGGCACAGAATAATAGGTGGCTCTTAAAGTATAAAGGTGATGCCTGTAAACTTTCCAAAGTAGATTGGGAACACATGAACAGGATACGCTAAAACCATGTCAGAGTCAGATAAGGAGAACAGAAGTCCTAAAGTTAGGGACATGCCAGGTCAAGTTCAAGACCAGGGCAGTGTAGCTCCGTTGAGGGTGAGGGTGCTTCTCTTTCCTACACAAAGCCCTGGGTTCCATCTCTGCCTACCATAAACCATGCACAGTGGTTCATGCCTGTAATGCCATGCACTGTGGAAGTGAAGGCATGAGGATTAGAAGTTTAAAGTCACCCTCTGCTGCATAGTGAGTTTAAAGCCAGCTTGGACTACATGAAAATTTATCTTAAAAACAAAACTCAGGTTAATGATAAGGCTAGATCAAATGAGGCTTTGCTAGCCCTTTAAATTACACATAAGATGAAAAATATCTCTGGGGTGGTTGGGAGTAGAAAATATGCTTGTAATATATATTCTAGAAGACTCCCCTGACTCTGTCCAATGTGAACAATGAATTGGAGAGGGCAGAGCTAAGAGCCAAAGCAGGTGGCCACCTGGAGGCTACTGTGGTGAACTAGTCAAGAGATAAAAACAGCATACAATGATAATTTTGATGTTAAGACTATAGTTCAACGTTAGGATTTGTTAATAGTTTAAGACATGTCAAGGTGTTTTGACACATTGAGCTTCAAGTCATAGTCAAGCAGGAAGGGTAGATAATTGAGAAGCTACTAGCAATAAAGCCATGGAACTGATTACATCATCCAGAGAATAAAGGGAGTTCTAGAAGCATCCAAGAGGACTAAGCCATGAGCAGCTTTAACCTAAAGGCTGGGAAAAGAAGGCTCCAAGCAAAGGAAATGTCAGAAAGAATCTATGAGGTAGGACAAGAGAGGTAGTAGTATTCCACGAAACAAGAAAGAGTCCTAAGATGGAAGGAAATGTGTCAAATGAAGGATTCGCCATTGCTCTAGGCAGGACAGAGATCATTGTGACCAACAAAAGCAGCTTTAGCTAAGTGGACAGAATGAAATCGTAATTTAACTAGTTCTCAAGAGAACAGGAAAGGAGGGCACCGAAATCATGACTTTTAGACAACTATTTTGAGGATTTTTTTTTTGTCCCTGTAAGGCAAGCAGAGAAGTCGAGTGGTGCCTGGAAGGGAAGAGCCACAGGGCTAGGGAAGACTTGTGATCATTTTCAGGTGCAGTAATCATGTAATGTTGTTGTATCAATGGGAACAGTCAAGACCACAACAATGCAACAGAAAGAGGGTAGATGGGGGCTGGTGAGATGGTTCAGCATGTGAAGCGACTGTTGTACAAGCCTGGTAACCTAATCTAAATTCAATTCCCAGAACCCACAGAAAAGTAGGCCCCACAAAATTGTTCTCTGACTCCACCCTAGCACCATGGCACACATGCACACCCACATACATGCATCATTAGCATACACACACACACACACACACACACACACACACACACACACTAATTTTTAAAAATGTTAAAGTTAGATTAGATAATATCCAACAGATAGAAGTCAGGAATAGCCATTAATAGATGTCAAAGACAGTTCACCCACCATTGACTGGAGAAAGGAGTTACTTATAGAGGTGCTGCATTGTGGTAGACATCAGAGAAAATAGCAAGTGCGTGTGAGTGGTGTGTGTGTGTGTGTGTGTGTGTGTGTGTGTGTGTGTGTGTGTGCACATACATGTGCTCAAGGAGGCCAGAGAGGACGGCTGTTTTACCATTCTCCTCCTTATTCCTTTGAGATGAGGATTCTTCTGTCTGTCTCCTCCTGCTGCCTGGGGTTTACAGGAAGGTACAGCCACACTCATGACATAGGTTCTGAGATCTGAACTCAGGTCCCCATGCTCATATAAGAAGCCCTCTTACCCATTCTCCAACCTTAGTTGTATGTTTGTTGTTTAAGTGATGTTGAAGAAGGGGATATAGGGAAATAAGGAAAGTGAACATGTATAATAATTTCTGGAGCATTTAGAAATGTAGTTTGAGAGTGCTAAGCAAGATGGGGAAGCCACTTAAAGTTCAAAGGTTATGTATTTAGAGACCAATTCACATAGTTGTCTACCTTCCTCTTGTAATGTCTGCCACAAGAGAGAATTGGGTAAGCATGCCAGCACATGCCTGTAATCCCAGTACGAAGAGGATTCAGAGGGATCCTAGTCAAGGCCAGCCTGGGACTTACAGAGAGTGAGCACACCACTAAAGTATGACATAGGGACAACAGTGGATCATGGAAGATAAGGTAAGAAGACACAGAACATTAAGGAGCAGGGGCAGATAATCAAAGATCAGTAGAATCAGTGGGTCAAAGGTGCCTTTTGAACTAAATTTTGGTAAAAGGAGACATGGAGTTAAGCTCAAAATATTGGGCTTAGCTGGAAAGTGTGCTTAAAAAAATAAAAATAAATAAATAAAAAGATTCCAAAATGACACAGCAATTGAAGGGAACAAAGGGGGAGTGAGAGCCCCAGATGAGGTGAAAGCCAAAATCTTCCCAATGAGGGCTTCAGAATGAGAAGTTCAGTGGCTCACAACTAGGGATGCTGAAACCTCCCCCCCCACCCCGCCCATAGGACAGGGATGGGGTACACTAGAGAGGGGTCTTGTTTTGGTTTGGGGGTGGTTGTTTTTTTGTTTTTTGATGCAAAGTTTCTTTGTGTAGCCTTAGCTGTCCTGGAACTTGCTCTTTAGACCAGGCTGGCCTCAAACTCAGATATCTGCCTGCTGGGATTAAAGGTGTGCACCGCCACTGCCCAGCACACTGGAACAGTTTTGATGGAGAAAAGAGACCTACAAAAGTAGTTAAGTAAGGTAATAAGTGAAGAAAATGAAGGCATGGGATCAAAGGTTATTTCAAGCTAAGAGTCTGTTGGCTCATGGGATTGATTCAATAGAAAAGGAGAAATCGTTGTAAAGGAGTGGAGACAGATGAAGAGTTCTTCAGGAGACAAGTGGAATCTGAGGCATTCGTGGAGAATGTGACTTTCATAAAAACAACCACAAGTCCCCCCCTGAAAGATGAGAAAAGGCAGACTCAGAGTACTAGTCTTGGGAGGCCAATAAATGGCTGGTAAGAGAGTTCGTGAAAGATGGTTCTATTCTTGATAAAGTAGGAGGTAAAGTCTCTCATTGGATGAAGAATGAAAGTGTGAACTTTGGAGGAAGAAAAGGGAGTGCATTTAGTCATGTCAGAGCCTGGGAAAATCAACTTATCCAGTGAATAAAAGGAAGTCTGCCAGAAAATACCCAGCCCCAATTAAATTTTGCAGTAATGAAATTGAAATAAAACCAATCGGTACAATAATACAATTTTGTATAGAAAGAGTCAACTACCAGGGGTCTATAGATTGCTGGCATTTAGCTGCGTTGGAGATGTCAGGAATATGGTGGCCACCAGAGCCAGGGAAGTGGTAGGACATGTGGTAAGGAGATGACTGCTGTGATAAACCATGTACCTGAGGCCAGGTGAGAAGCAATCCCTAGTAAGAACATGGGATTGCAGGTCCAATGCAAACAATCACCAACAAGGAACTGGAAATAAGCTTAAGTGATTAAAAAAACAAAAAAGCAAGGGTATTTCTGTTCGAGTCCCACCAGCCTTGTTACCTTGTGAGTTTGAGAAGGACTGACCAGACAATGAATTCCTTCAGTATTTGTTCCCTGAATGTTTCATTTCCCCTGGGTCCAAGGCCCAAATACTAACAAAACATCCTCCCTTCGAGGATGTCTCCAGTTGGAGAGTAAGAGAAATGATATAACAAAACAAACAACACAAAAATCTCAAGTGAAAATAATAAGGACTAGTCGAGGTGTAGCCTAGCAGGATAGACTGGTGTGCTGAATCGAAGGATTTGGAAGGGCTTTCGGGGCTAAAGTGCTTGCCTAGTATGAGTGAGGTACTAGCTAGGCTTAATCCTGGAAGTGGTGAGGTAGTTTCCCATTGAAATTCCTTGAAGTGCAAAGCAGAGCAGCAGGTAGAGGACACAAGAGTCAAGTTCTTTGAAACACGTGAACCTTCAGCCAGATTCCTGAGTTCTAGACGGGTAGATTTCGGCGGGGTGGGGGCGAAACCTACCGCTAGGAGAAGTCAGCTGGAGCCGTGGTAGGTATTTGGCAATCAAAGATGGGGCGGTCGTAACCATTGCGTTGGGAAGCAAATCGCCTTTTCCAAGCCCGTGAACCCGAAGTAACTGAAGAGGACTGCCCTTGCGGGCCTGGAGGGGCTCACTGCCCTTGCGGGACGGGCGAGAATCAACGGCCTTGCGGGGCTGGATAGGATCGCTGGCCTTACGGGACTGGAGGGAATCGCTGGCCTTGCGGGACTGGGGAGGATCGCTGGCCTTGCGGGACTGGGAAGGATCGCTGGTCTTGCTGGACTGAGGAGGATCGCTGGTCTTGCTGGACTGAGGAAGATCGCTGGTCTTGCTGGACTGAGGAAACTCGCTGGCCTTTTGAGATTGGAGAGACTCACTGTCCTTGCAGGACTTGGAGGATGTGGAGGCCTCTTGGGATTTGTGAGTCTTAGAGTGTGTAGTGGACTCGGTGAACACTTCATACTCATTGTCCTCTTCTTGTATTTCTTTCTCCTCACCCTCTTCGACCTCTTCACTCCCAAGCTCGTTATTCACCTCCAGGAGCCTGAACACAAGGGGCTTCGGGTTGAGTTCAGAGTTTGTGTTTGTTTCTGTCGTGTTGTGCCCAGCAGTCACCCCAGACTGCACGGATGAATCTGAGACGTCTCCTTCCTCCATCCCAGTTAGAAGCTCCTGGTACCCAGGGCGCGAACTCTCCGCCTGCTGCCCAAGCACAGTTCGCTGCGTGGACAGATTTGGGGCCGCCCGCGCCCCGCCCGGCTCTGGACAGACTCAGCTCCGCCCCCGGGCCGCCTAGCCCCGCCCATCATCTCGTCGCCTTGGCTGTCCGGTTGCTACGGAGACGTGTTGCTCTCCTAGGATGCTCCTCTGTTAGGCGCAGCGCAGAAGACAGAGCGCCTGGAGAGCCGGATCCTGCTCCTGCTTCCGGTGTGAAGGGAGAAGACTCAACAACTCTCTGAACCTGTCTACTTCCTGACTAGTTAGGTTTCCGAGGTTCCCCCACACTCTTTACAAAGGCTGGGAGTGAATTGATTTTTAAGATCCCTCCCATCTCCCCACTAAGGCAATGGGTTTCTATTAAAAGTTCAGCAGTCAGAATGAAGATTATGAAGGGAGGACATTACAATCTTAATATTCATCAGAATAGTCCAGATCACTAATCTTTCCTTTAACTGAAATTCTGCACACCGTCACAATGAAACCCTTGGACGAAACACTTCCAAAGACGTGTGTATATTCAAGGACATCTTGTGTACCATTATCGGGTTCACTATCAAAGTGAGACTAGGAGTTAGACTGTTAGTAGACAGAGGGGCCGTGACTAGGTAATAAATGTGGCGAACTTCAAAGACGGCCAGCTTCTTCCGCACCCTCCTGACTAGAGACAAAAGCTTGGCAACCGGATAGCCAAGGCGTTGAGATGATGGGCGTGGCGTGGCTAGGCGGCCCGAGGGGCAGAGCTAGGTCTGTCGGGGCGGGGCGGGGCGCGGGCAGCCCCTGCTGATGGACCACTGGCTCAAGGCCTGCTCAGGACATGCCAGCCAAACGTCTTAGCTTTCTTCCAACTGACCAACCCCAAGTTAGGGGATGAAAACTCTTCAGATATTTTGAAACCCCAACCCTCGCGAAGAGACTGGACTGTACGCTTGCTCTGCTTTGCAGAGGGTCTTTTCCTTGTATGACCGCGCATGTGTGTGCTTTTTCTCATCCCCAATAAACACTTTCCTTCAACTGCTGATTCTTCTGGAGGTTTCTCTGCTGCTATCTATTGTGCTGCAGGTTTTCCTGCCTTTAATTATTTAACTGGCAGTGAAAACAAACGACCAAGGCCCCTAGATTGTATCGTTAAAAAACCCCTTGCCTGTATCACTACAAATGTTATTAATCATATAGTCTTGTGAACAGCACAATTGTGTTCATCGATTTTTTCATAGTGATACCTTTGATATATACCAAATATTTTGTTGCCTTGTTTGTGTCTTTCTCACCCTCCTCTTACCCCTTTCTCCCAACTTCTTCTGTTTGTTTTTCAGAAAAGCTCCCTCTGCAGCTCAAGCTGGTCTGGAACTATTTAGTCCAGGTTAGTCTCAAACTCTTGAACATGTGGAGCTCTTCTTGCCGCAGCCTCTCAAGAGATAGGTTATAGGTGTGAGTCATAGTGCTGTCTTCTCTCTGTATCTTTTAAAAATACTTACTTTTAGCTGGTTGTTGGTAGTGTATGCCTTTAATGGTGGTCTCTGAGTTCAAGGCCAACCTGATCGACAGAACAAGTTCCAGGACAGCCAGGGCTACACAGAGAAACCCTGTCTCAAAAAACAAAACAAAAAATTTACTTTTAATTCTCTGTGTGTGTCTGTAGGTTTGTGCACTTGTTAGTAGTGGTGCCCATGGAATCCGGAAGAGGGCATCAGATCTACCTGAGCTATAGGCAGTTATAGGCAGTTAGCAGTTGCCAAAGGAACTGGAATCTGAACTGGGATCCCCTATAAGAGCAGAAGCCCTCTAAATGATGAGCTATCTTTTCAGTGCCCCCCCCTCTCTCTCTCTGTGTGTGTGTGTGTGTGTGTGTGTGTGTGTGTGTGTGTGTATGTCAAAGCCTGGAAAGTGCTCATTTTTGTGGGCATAATAGTACAGGAAAGAAGAGCAGAATTGGCAGAGTCTTATGTTTATCTTCAATGGAAGGAACTAAAATGTTAAGGAATAAATCATCTTTCAAAATGTACAGTTAAAGACACCATTTACGCAATATTGGAGGGGGTACTTGAACTGTCCTATAGAAAATTAAAACATTTTTGTGGAAGCTATCTGGAATGGTGTAGGGAGCCGTTCCTGCATTCTCCATTACAATGATGGTGCCTGCGGACACCAAATGTAAATTATTTCACAGGCGCTGGGTAATTTCCATTCCTTTGATCTCTGCCTATCCCGTGGCTCATTTGGCCTGAGGAGCTGAAGCCATTCATAGGGTAACATGTCCCAGGCGGCTGCTTGCCAGCCTTTATTAAGGGAAGGGGTTCTTGGGTCAGGGGCTCCGCTCTGGTAAGCTTATGCTCTCCCCTCTCAAGATGCAGTAAAGCTTTTCTGCAGAAGGATCCGAGTGTCCTGCGTGTATTTCTTGCCAGCGAGAACATACAGCGCGCGGGACAGAATGGAACTAGGAGACTCATTCTAGGTATGCATGTATCAGACAGGTAATCTGTTGATTCAAACTTATTTTATTTATTTAATTTTTGAGACGGGGTTTCTCTGTAGCTTTGGAGTCTGGCCTGGAACTCTCTCTGTAGACCAGGCTGGTCTCAAACTCGCAAAGATCCACCTGCTTTTGCCTTCCAAGTGCTGGGATAAAAGGCATTCACCACCACTGCCCAGCCTCAAACTCATTTTAAAAAAATCTGATTACAGGCCGGGTGGTGGTGGCGTACACCTTTAATCCCAGCATTCCGGAGGCAGAGGAAGGCAGATCGCTGTGAGTTCGAGACCAGCCTGGTCTACAAGAGCTAGTCCCAGGACAGCCTCCAAAGCCACAGGGAAACCCTGTCTCGAGCCCTCCCCCGCCCCCCCCAATAAATCTGAATACATGTTTGGGGCTAGAGTAGATGGCCCAGCAGTTAAGCCCACTTAAGGCCCTGCAAAGATCGTTCAGTGCTTAAGAGCATTTACTGTTCTTACAGAGGACCTGGGTTTGGTTCCTAGCACTTACATGGTGGCTTACAACCTCCTGAATACATGTGGTGTGCATGCCTACACCCGGACATACACACATCTGAAGATTTTTTTAAAGACCACTTGCTGCACTTGCAGAGAGCCCACTTGGTGGCTCACAGAAGATTATGTTCCAGTTCCAATGAATCTGTCACCCTCTTCTGGCCTCTGCAGGAACTAGGCACAGGCACAAGCAGATAAAACTTTCAACACATAAAGATTTTCGTATGTTTTTATTTATTATTGTGTGTGTGTGTGTGTGTGTGTGTATACCTGCCACAGTGCACATGTGGAGGTCAGAGGACACCTTGGGGGCATTGGTTCTTTCCTTCCACCACGTGAGTCCGAGGGATGGAACTCAGGCTGTCCTGAGACATGTCAACAGTTCCAAACTCATTTAATATGAACATGCAGGATTGTACAACAATTCTTCAAGGGCTTCCAAAACTTTTAGAGAAGGAAAAATGAAGCTACCTTTAGGCAGTTTTAAGAACTCACCCTGGGCCTGGAGGGACGGCTCAGTGGTTAAGAGCACTGACTGCTCTTCTGGAACCCTGGGATTTGATTCCCAGCACCCATCTGGCTGCTCACAGCTGTCTGTCACCCCAGTTCCAAGGGATCTGACCCCCCTCTTCTTGGCACTGCACTCACATGGTTCACAGACATACACATAAAATAATTTTAAATTACATAGGCAAAATGTTTAATTAAAATTTTATTTTTTTAAAAATTAATACTTAAATCAACTCAAGCAGTCAGGAAAGAGTTAGGTAAACTCAGGAGACAAAATGGAAATTAAAAAGTAAAAAAGAGAATCAAGGTGGTTCCTAAATCAGCAAAAGTCCACCACTAAGTAAATTGCTTTTAAGTACAGAAATCATATCACAGAGGGGGCTTCACAAGAGGAGTGTACAAGGACTGTACAAGAGGAGAGTCACAGAGGCTGTGCCCAGTTAAGACTGCAAGAGGGTTTGCAGTGTGGGTGTCCATGATAGAGGATAAGCTCATACAGGAGGCCCTGGGTTCATTCTCAACACTCTACCCTCCCCCAATACTCTCCCCTCAAAAAAAAAAAAAAAAAAAAAAAAAAAAAGAAAGAGGATATATTAAAAAAAAAACAAAAACTA